AGTGACTACTGTTGATGATATAAACCCTGCATTACCAGGGTTTAGGGTTTAGGGTTTAGGGTTTAGGGTTTAGGGTTTAGGGTACCTTAAGGGCCCTAACCTACAGGAATTATGGTATGTTCCTTATTATGGGTAGTAAACCCTAAACCCTAAACCCTATCTTTTCTGCAGTGATAACAGACCCCTGCAACCCGAAGGCCCGAGTACCTCTGCAGTATGGCTGTATGGCTTAGGGTTTAGGTTTTTGCCTTAGGGTATAGGGTTTAGGGTGTAGGATTTAGCTTCGGGTTTAGGGTTTAGGGATTATGGCTTTCCCAATACCCACTCCCCGACAGAATCGCATGAAACTGCTTCCCTGCCTAGTGAGGTGATGAAGACAGAGCTTGGACGCAGGGTGTCAGGTAGGTGGGGAGAGCCAGTTTCTGGGGCAAAAGCACAATCACCCCCTTTTAGAACCTCGATATATCCCCATGCCAAATCGTTCCTGAATTTTAGGGTTTAGGGTTTAGGGTTTAGGGTTTAGGGTTTTCCTGAACCCCGGCTTTGTAGCATAATCCTCAAGAGAGCGCAAACCCCGAGCGCCTGAACGGAGTTGGCACCGCCCCGGATGCTTCGGTGCCATTGCAACTCTAACTGAGCTACTCATAAGCCCCATAGTAGTTCCTTTCTGTGGCTTATATTTAGGATCCTACTAGGTAATCCCAAAAAGGAATTACTATCGGGCCTATGGGTAGTTGCCGCATGGTTCCCTTTACTTCGGCACCAAACAGCGAGCAGGGCAGACCAGAGAACAAGACTCTCGCAGCAGATGCAAATGCAACTTGTATCGCTGCAGATGTTTGCGCTGCCATGGCTGCCATCTGTTCGAACCCTGCTTCAAGTTTGCGGAAATGGACATGATTTGTACGGCCACAGGCAGCAATCTCGGGAAACCTGGCATGAGGCTCAATCCGAGACGACAACACGAGCGATGACGCGGACACTCATGTCGTTCTCTTGATGTCTCTGTGTGCTCAACGCACAACTGCCGTCTGTTGCGTTGCGGCTCTCGAAAAGTGCTGACTAAGTCGACGGTAAAAGAAGCTATATTCGATGACTTGACCATTGGCGCGAACTTGCTGCTCCTTGGGCCGATATCACCAGCAGACTATCGAGTGGAAAACTATTTTGTACGGCACCCCTCAAAGCCCTCAACCCAAGAATCTGCATAATCCTCGAACTGCTTTCAACTGTCCTAAGCTTGATGTGACACTTGCCACTTGCAGGCTCTCATAAGATATTCTAAGCTATTCATGTGTTTCTCGGTACCACAGCCCACCTCGGTGACGGGTACTAGTGGTGGAGCAAGTCCCGCAGCTCCGAAAAAAGGCTTCCCTTACTCGCAAGATTACCAGGATGTAAAAGCGACTTGTTTCATGGGGGCGGATATGGGCAAGTGAACTGATCAGGTCCTTCTTGCGTACACCCCTTAGAGCAGGAAACTGCAGTGGCTGATAGAAACATGTGGAATATAGCCTACACATATATATATATATATATATATACATCTCTCTCTCTCTCTCCCTGTAGCTATCTGTTTATATATGTATCTACCTATCTCCTTATCTACCTAGCTATCAAATCTATTTTCATCTATTTATACACGGTTGACGGCCATAGCACTTGAGCGGCAAGGCATGGGCTCACCTGGCGATGCATTGCCGGTCGTCCAATTGGCATCGCGGCAAGGCCTGTCGGAGCCACGACGAAGACCGTGGTGGTGTCGGCAGCCTGCCCTACACCCTAAACCCTAAACCCTAAGCCCTAAACCCTGAACCCTGAACCCCAAACCCGAAACTCCAAGACCCCAATTTGGGGATTTGTATCTCTCAGCTTCTCGGAGATAACGCAACGACGACACAGGACGCAGCATCGTTGTTAATGCTGCTGCCGCTGACGACGACAATGATGATGGTGATGCTGGTGATGATGATGATGATGATGAAGATGAAGAAGAAGATGAAGATGATGATGATGATGCTGATGATGATGCTGGTGATGACGGCGATGATGATGATAGTGGCGGTAATATTAACAACCGATACTCATGCTGCTGCTGGTGATGATGATGATGTCCAGCAGGGTGATGTTGGTTGCGGCGGCGGCGGTGTTGTTTTTGTTGCTGCAGCTGCTTGAGCAACATGTTTCAGGTGTGCTGATATCCATGCTTAGGCCCTGACCCGGTTGTTCTCGATGGTTCTGATGATGGTACATTGACGGAGATGAATGCTGTTGGAGTCGATGATGGTGATGATGACGATGATTATGATACTTATGATGATGGTGGTGATGACGGTGATGGGGACGCTGATGATGACGATTTAACTGCGAGGTGATGCTGATCATGAGAGGGACGAAGACGAGGACGAGGGTGGGGATACAACTATGGTGTTGTTCATAGTCTGATAGTATGTCGAGACGATGCGAAGGAAAAAGAACCTAAGAAGACGAACCATGATATGATAACTAGCAGGTTGAAGATGACCAGGACGGTTGAGCTGATGCTGCTCAAGCTGATAACAACAAAACAGATGCTGATCACAGCTCCTCTGGTCTTCCCCGCGGAGGTCAGTCATGGAGCAGGGAACGAAATCCGAAAACAAACAACATGACAGAAGGCGCGATGTTGACAACGATGTGGTGCAAGAGGAGGATGCGCAAAGGAGGAGGAGAGGGAGGAAGAGGAAAAGGAGCAGGGAGAGTTCGGCAGAGCGATGCCCCAGCAGTTCATTCACCGGCCTCGGTTTGGCCGTAATGGTTCCGCACCATGAACTCCCCGGCACGAGAGAGTCTTCTGCAAAGCTCAGTGGAAAGTGCCTCGCCTCGGTCGGACAGAATTGGGGGTTTCCGAAAATAGGGGACCCTAATGTAGTACCCTAATTAATAAAGGGTCCCTATTATAAGGACCCCAGAATAAGGTACCCTAATTTTCTGAAACTCCCAATTCAAACCAAGTTTGCAATTTCGGGAATCCCATCGAAATCGGCATCCGGTTCTGTGCATCATGTCGTTCAGCAACTGTTGGTTGGACATACCGGAACACAGACTAACAGCCATCCCTCGAGATTGATCTCGGGAGCCTCGTAATTACAACTCACATGCAGGTCAAAACTACCCAAACGAGAGCCGGAATCTGCTGCCAGGGCGCCCGTCAGCACCAAATGGCGGCATGCCCTGCCCATGGGTTGAAACCCGGCAGTCAGCATGGCCTTGCAAGGCTTTCCCTGCAACAGTAACATGTAGCACCTTTGTGCTCTTGCATGTCGTAACTATGTGCCACGCATTTTGCACTTCCACTGGTCTTCCCGAGTCCGCTGGCTGGAGATTCGTAATGACAACACGAGGCAACATGTCTAGCAGTCGCAACAAAGCAAGCAAAGTGGGCGGAGGAGCAGGAGGAGGAGCAACAGCAGTAGTAGTAGTAGTAGTAGCAGCAGCAGCAGTAGTGGTGGTGGTAGTAGTAGTAGCAGCAGCAGCAGCTGTCGTTCTTGTTGTACCTGTGGCTGTTCCGCTTGCTGTCGTGGTTGTTATTGTTGTTGCCTTTTTTGTTAGGTTTTGTGATTGTTGTTGGTGGTGGTGGCAGCGGTGTTGCTGTTGTTGTTGCTGTTGCCGCTGCTGTTGTTGTCATCGTGGGTGGTCGTCGTCGTTGTGGTTGTGGCTGTGGTGGTGGTAGTATTACTAGTAGTAGTAGTAGTAGTAGTAGTCGTCGTCGTCGTGGTGGTGGTGGTGGTGGTGGTGGTGGTAGTAGTAGTGGTGGTAACAGTAGCAGTCGTAGTAGCAGTAGGAGCAGAAGAAGCATTAGCAGTAGCAGCAGCAGGTGCAGGTACAGTTGCAGTTGCGGTAGTAGGAGTACTAGTAACAGCAGTAGGAGTAGCAGCGGCAGCGGTGGTATTTTTTCTGTTAGGGTTGCGATTAGTAGCAGCGGCAGTCTTGGTAGACGACGTCATTGCGGCAGTGGCAGACACTAGGAGATGTTCAGTAGTAGCTGCAGTGGAATTTGAAGGTCCTAATACCTAATCAGTTACATCGTGGAAAGGTATCTTGTGCAGGAATCACCGATTATGGTTTCAGAACGTTTCAGAAGGAATCCCCCATATAGGTTCTTATGACCCTCTGCAGGAGTGTCGGTCGTAGTATGAGACTTTGATGGAACAGTGCGGCAGTTACGAGTGGAAGCCGAAACGACAGTTTCTACATCCCCGGCAACAAAAACAAGCGCACTTCTTTGGAATGATGATAGGCTGATAGGTTTAGGGTTCAGGGCTTACAGGGTCTAGGGTTCCAGTCCTCCAGCACGGATGGGACATATTGCTGCAGGCTGCATCCCTTGGATGCAAAGTTTGCCTCGGTCTGGGATCAACGGTGCGATACAGGATATAAAAGGGTTGAGCTGTGCCAGCACCTCATGCTAATGTAGGGGCTTCGATAGCCAAAATTCAGGTTTGGGATACAGTATAATCTAAAATCTAACCGTACTATATCAGCAACACTAGGACCACCAGGAAATCCGGGTCCGGGGTAAAATATAATCTAAGCAACCCAAGGGAAGAGTTCTGTCGATCGCAGCAGACCCCCGCATGCAGCACAAGATTGTACGACCCACGACACACAGGGTTCCTTTCGCCTGCCTGCTGCAGGCAAAGGAGCAGAAACGAAACTTCTCGAGCGCATGAACTCGCGTCGTGCAAGACAGACGGAAGACATGCCCACGGCTGCCCTGTTGCAAGCATCTGCTTTTTCGACATGGCTGACGGAGCAAGTTGAGATTATTCAAGACTGATGAGAAGCATATCCCGCGACCAAAGCCAAACTAGACCAAACGTCTGTGCACAAAGGCCACAGGAAAACATCATGTTCTTGCGGCTGTCGGTTTTCCGAGGGGCTTCCGGTATCGGCCGTAGAGCATTGGTCGTACCAAAATGGATACTTTTTGCAAACTGCTCCACTCTCGGATACCCAATTTGTACACTACAGAGGTTTGAACTCCCCCCCTAAACCCTAAACTAAACCCTAAACCCTAAAACCCTAGACTCTTTATGGGTTTTGCTCTTTGCTCCGCCCATGCGGGGACTTAGGGCTGTCCAACAAAAGTCCAAGGTTGAAACCATGGGCCCCTACTTGGAGGTTCATGGGTAGTTATAAGTAGGGTTATGGGGTTCCTTTAAAGGGTTCTATAGGGTTTAGGGTTTAGGGGGTAGTTATAAGTAGGGTTATAAGTCCCCTAATATGGGTTATAACTATACTCACCCTACTTATAACTCCACTTATAACTCCCCTTGAACCTCCAAGTAGCCCGAAACCCGAAACCCTAAACTCT